AATAATTGGAAAAACTGAATCACAGATACGCATGTACGCCTTCAATTTCAGAATTGAAGTGGAATTTGCATAGATGACACGCGTGTTCTGCAATCACATGTGACGCACATTTGGCTTTCACCGATTGTTTATTATTTACTCTGTTGTGGAGATTACGGGATGCGGATGATTGTGTTTTCACGTGGAATAATTTTTGAATATTCAGAGATCCACTCCAATTACGTTTGAATAAGGGGAATCTTGAATTCGTTATATTCTTTTTTCAGAGGGGGAGGATTGATTTTTTCGGAGGGCATTAGCTGGTGGAAAATCGATTAGCTGGAAATGTGGTTTCATCTATTTTTGGATTATATTCTGGGTGATATATTGCGGGTTTGCGCGGAGTGTTCACGCGTTCGAGGAAAATGGAGAGAAGTGTCTAGGAAATTGGAGGATTTTTATTGGAGTTGTTTTGAAAATTCTATTTGTTTGTTGCCGGGTCTATTGGAACTTTCCGCAGCTTTTTTCGCGGTTTTTCAAGATAGAAAGGGGAATATCAAATATCTATAGAAAAATCAATGGAAATTCACAAATTCAATCAATCCTAATTTTGTCATATGCCCATTGTTGAATACAAAAATCAATAAAAAAAGAAAAATTAATAAAGCATAAGCAATTAAAAATACTTATTTATCGTGATGTAATGCTGATTTTTTCCTCAACATTACATTATTTTTAAAAATAAAAAAGAAGTTTCAATAGGAAATATTTCATGGAAAACTACAAATTATTCTGTTGAGATTGTTTCTATAGAATTTTCTAATGGAGATTTTCCACAATTTTTTTGCTTGAATTTTTTAATCAGTGAAGAAGAAAAAATGCAGTGGAAAAACTTGGAAAATTTACGTCAAGGAGTTTCTATAGAAATATCTCAATAGAATAAATTATGGAGAATAATAAAAATCTATTGACTTCTCCTATCAAATATGTATAAAACAAATAAATGGAAATTCACAAAACACTAATGGAATTCTAATAACTTCCAGAATAAATTCAATAGGTTCAATCCTAATTTTGTTATATGTCCATCGTTGAAAACAAAAATCAATAAAAAAAGAAAAATTAATAAAGCATAAGCAATTAAAAATACTTATTTATCGTGATGTAATGCTGATTTTTTCCTCAACATTACATTATTTTTAAAAATAAAAAAGAAGTTTCAATAGGAAATATTTCATAGAAAACTACAAATTATTCTGTTGAGATTGTTTCTATAGAATTTTCTAATGGAGATTTTCCACAATTTTTTTGCTTAAATTTTTTAGTAAGTGAAGACGAAGAAATGCAATGGAAAAACTTGAAAAATTTATGTGAAAGAACGTCTATTGAAATATTTTAATGGAATAAATTGCCTAGAACAATCAAAATCTGTTGACTTGAATGAAGAATAACGGACCTAATATTTTAAATTAAATTTTCATATAATTTTTTATTCGAAATCATGATAACAACTTTACCGACAGCGGTAACTCCACCAACTCCTCGGTAAGTGGCGCCACAACGAAATCCTCCGACACTCGATCGCCACTTCAGTTGATAAAACCGAAAAACTAAATACCTGAACGGCACTAATTCTTCTCCAGTGCAGCCTTGGACGCAGTGGCGATAGTAGCATAATTACCCGGATGATTAGAGGCCATTCCTAAATTATGTAAGTACCGCTAAAACTCTTTACATTCCATAAAATTGCGAAATTCCCTCGTGCAAAATTCCAACCAAAAGAGTTCTAAAAACTCTCCAAACGCACACAGCTAAAACCCACCGAATGTAGTCCTGAATAACTAGAGATCGGCTGAGTGAAACTCAAAATTTTTTTCTTCATTTCCAAGATATTTTTGCCGGCTTTAAAATAAGACCTGACGAGTTCAAATCCCATCGTTTATTCCGGAGATATTGATCATTCAAAAATTCCAGTTTACAGCCCCCACTAAATCATTTTCCAAAAAAACAAAGTAAACCGTTTTCAATCGTCAATAACTAGAGATTGGTAGAGTGAAATCTCCCAATTTTTTTTTCATTTCAAAGATATTTTTCCCGACTTTAAAATGAGATGTGACCAGTTTAAATCGCATCATTCCTTATCGTAAGGAATACTTTTCCGTCAAAAAACTTTAATTCGGTCATGTAGTTTGAGATATTAAGGAAAAAAGATTTTCGAGAAATTGTTATATCTCGGAAACTACTGGGCCGATTAAGCTGACCTTGCGCCCACAAATGCCCCAAAGTAATACCAATCATCCGACAAAATTTCAGATTTTTAGCTCAAACTTTAGTCCTTTTTTCGGGGGGATTTACAAAAAATTTCCGAAAAATCGGCATTCACATTCTGACATACACATATTTTCTAAAAACATCATATATTCACGTTTCATGGCATTCTACATCATTTCCAAGCAAAATTACGAGATCGTAAAAATCATCGATCCCCTATAATAGGGGAGGTTGGGGTAAAACGGACATTTCAGGCTTTTTTAAAATTATTCATAACTCCGAAACAAATTGATCAATTGAGCTCAATTTAGGCTCGTCATAAAGGAAAAGAATTGTTCTTTGTATTGAAAAAAAAAAATATATTGAATTTTATCAACATTTCAACCCCTCATTAACATTTCAAAAAAAGTCAAAAGTGTCCGTTTTACCCCAATCTCCCCCAACCAGTAAAAGCTAATTAGATATCTTCAAAGAACGATTCATGACCAGTTCAAATCGCATCATTCACCCACGACATTCCAACGCTTCCATAAGCCCCATTCCCCTCGCGTTCCCCTAAAAAACAGTAATTGTCTAGAAAATTCCACTCACTTGTTCCCGTCTCCGCCTTTCTCCCGAGTGAAAACCTCGATAGAAATCCGCCACCCATGCATTTTCACCATCGAGAGGAGCCCGAGAATTCCCGCTCCTTTATTTCTAATCCCAAGAATTCCTCGGGACATCCGACTGCATCCGACAACTCCATTGGCCCATTTCGTCGAATGCCGAGTACTGACACTGGTTGATCTCCCCCCCCCCCCC